CTGAACCCTCGGTGCGGGGGGGTTCCTGTCCTGATGAACCTTCGATGCGGGCGGGCTGCCCGGGGCGGAGGGGGCGGCAGTGCCCCCCGGGGGTAGCGGGAGCGCCGCCGGTTGCGCGGCGGCCGCAGCCGCCATTTCCAGGAGGACGGTGCCACCTATGGAAAGCACCTGGAATTCACCGGGCCGGCGGCAACGCGCCGGGAAGGTCAGCGTTTCCGTGCGGCACCGTCGGGACGAACCGCTCTCCGGGCTGGCCCGGGGAGTGTCGGAGGGGTTTGGCTGCCCCGGTCGGCGGCCCTCAGTACCGCCTGCGCCGGGGAAGATGCTCGGCTCGGTCCCGGGGCCGCGGCGGGGCCGATTGGGGACCAGTTGCGGCACTGGGCTGCACCTCCTCGGAGTGGTCGCTTCGCCGGCTAGCCAAGGCCCCGGTAACCGGGGAACAACGACCGGCGGAGCGGAGAGAGGCTGTTCTGCTCAGGTGCTCGGCAGAGTCCCCGGGGCCGGCATCCTCTCGCTCTCCTGAGTCCGACCACACGGAGGTGCCTCTACGGCCCCGCCAGCCCCCTCTGGTCTCCGGGAAAGGGGCAGCAGCCGTGCCAGGGGTCGTTCCACCGGGGCACGCTGCCTCCCGTCTCTACGTCGCCTCCGGAGCCGCCGGGGAAGTCCTGCCCGGTCACGAATTCGATGTCAAACATCTTGACATGAAAACTTGCTCACACGGAAATTCCGGGGCTGGTGCAGCCCCGCGCGGACGCCGCTGCACGGGAACCCCCGAGATCTCCCCTCCCCGCACCGGGTACCTCCGCGCTTCCCGGCAGCATCTCCAGCGGCACCTTGGGGTGCTGGTGCCGCAGCTCGGAGCCAGTCTCTGCCTCCCCGATTATCCCCGGGATACTCGGAAACGAAAAGGCAACATCCCGGGGGCCGGGCTGCGCCCCCGGTCCCGGAAAAGGCCGTGGGCCGGGGGGGGCGCGGCGATGCCGCGATGTCCTCGGTCCGGGCCCACCCGTCGAGACAGCCTGGTACCGGCCCGGGGGCCGTGAATTTGCCCGAGACTCCTCTCGGCTCCATTCATCCACCAGTGGAGGGAATCGTTTTCCCGCACGGCTCGTGGACGGAACCGAACCGGGAAACACCCGGAGCCGAACCGGGCGGCGGGGCTGACCGGGAACCCGAGGGCGGCCGCCCCGAGTGTGCGGGGGGGTATCCACGCATTCAGGGAGTTCGCGTGGAATGGGGCTCCGGGGCGCGCTATACGCTGCCCGTCGGTACCCGGGCTGCAGGATGCCTTTCCCGGGTCCCGAGGGCCACCCCGGTCGCGGGGTCGGTTCGGGGACGGGCAGGCCCTGGGGCTCTGCCAGCGGGCGATTTGCTCTGTCCCCGTTCCCCCCGGTGGTCCCACTGTGGGGGCCGTGCTGCGATCGCCCAGGAGAAGGGTTGTCGACACAGTGGAGCGCGACCGTGGCATAAACGGATATACGAGGAGCACCGGCATCCTCGGCCACCCGGGGAACCGGGTCGGGATCTGGGCTGGATCCTGCCGTCCCTCCGCGAGTGGCCGTGGGACGGAGCAGCTTCTGAAGCATGGTCACTGCAGTGCACGGGAGGCGCGGGGGAATGCCCGGCTGCAGTGCGGGAATCGATGGTGCCCGTGTTGGGTTGGAGCCAGGTCCGCCCCGCCGCTCCAGGCTCAGCCGCGCTCGGACACGCGTGCTCGCTCCACCGCCCCACGCGCGACGCCGAGAGGGGCTGCAGCCGCCCGGTTTCGTTGCAAAACTCGTGGCCGTGGAAAACCCCGCACAGCGAGAAACGAGGGGGGAGCCGGGAACTCTGCCCCGCGGCGGCCCGCTGAGCCCCGAGGAATTCATCTCACGAGTGCGTGTTGGGGGAGCGGAGACCCGGCAGCCAAGAGGTGGATTTGGGGTCAAACGGGCAGAAACGGGGTTTGCCGCGCCGGCACACGTCCTCGCCGGGCCGAAGCTGTCCCCGAGTCGGCACCGAGCCCGGGACCCAGAGACCGGGTCGCTGTCTGCGTGGGCGGTGGAGACGCGGGGACGAGCGGCCCCCCTCGGCCAAGAGCCCGTGGGGCGCCCAGGCAGCCCCTGCCGCTGACCTCGGGAGCCCGGAGGGCGGCCCGTGCCCCGGCTCCGCTGCTGCTTCCGTTGGCCCGGCCTGGCAGGGGGGTCCCCGCAGCGCCGCCGGGCCCGGGCGGGGGGTCCCCGGACTCCCTCCGGCAGCGAGAGGAATTGCCCGGCGGAGCCGGGAGCAGTCCTGCCCGCCGCTGCCTCATGCCCCGGCGCCGGGACAGATCCGTTCCGCTTCTCCTTCCGAACCAAGACCCCCACGAGCGGCCGCAGCCCCGGACCCGGCTCACCCACGCGCGGGGGCTCCGGTCGGTCCCCACGCGGCGGCGGCCGCTCCGCGCTGCTTTCCTTGTGCCGTTCTCGTTTAAGTCTCGCCTTGTCCCTGCCCCCCCGCACCGCAGCCGGGGGCGCAGCCCCGGCTCCGCGCGAGTCCCGCGTGGGTTACAGCGGGAGGATGAAGCTATTCCTGCGCTGACGCCCGCACGTGAGGCAGCCGGAACCGCGGCCTCTCGGCTCTGCACACCCACGCGTGGCCGTGGGGCTCCGCGTAGTTCGGCGAAGGCGACGGGGCAGAGGCGGCTGCTCAGTCGGGAGATCCGCAGACACTCGGGGCTCCCGTGCGGCGTCGGTTCGGGGAGATTCGGCCCGGGTCTGCGGTTCCCACCTGCGCCGGGACACCGACGGCCACGGTGCTGGACAAACACCAGCGTCCGCGGGTTGCAGCAGCTCCACGGCCACGGGCACGGGCGCCTCTGCGCCGCCGCGGACGCTGCCCCGGGAGCCCCGAGCAGTGGACGAGACGGCGGCGCCGGCACCGGTCGGGCCGGGGGGGCACGATCCGCTCCCGTCCCCTCGCTGGGCCTTGTGCCCGGTACCGCCGGGTGTCTCCTCTGAGCGGCAGCTTCTCGGGAGCGGGATCCGGTCCGCCGAATCCATCCCGATTCATGAGTCGCCCCGCGACCAGCCTTAATTAACACAGATTAATTCGACAGCAACGAAAAACTTCTCGGGACGCAGCTCGCCGTGGTCTGGGAGGGCGCGGGGGTTGCTCTTCCCCCCGGCCCGGCCAAGCCACGCAAAACCCGCGTAGCGGGGAAGCTCCCGTGGCGCGGGGTTGCAAGCGTGGTGTGGGAGTCCACGAGAGCCGTGGAATGGGAATCTCCTGCCTCCTCCAGTGAGCGCAGTTTCACGTCGGCCGGGGGCGGTGGCAGGAGGGATCTGCCCACCGAGACCGACCCACTGCCTCCCGAGTCCCGCGTGGGGCTGTGGGGGTCCAGTTGTCAGTGCTCCCCGCGGGGTCCCACAGCCCCACTCGTGTCTGCCGTTGGAGGTCCCTGCCCGCCTGGGTGACGCGGCGGCAGGGAGGATGCCCTCGAGAAACAACTCTCCTCGAGGTTCCCGCTGCCGGTCCCGGCGGACCCCGTGTCCCGGGGCTCCCCGCCGTAGCCTGGTCTCATTTACCCGAACGCAGGCGCAGACCGGAGTCTCCCACGCGTGAGCGCGGCAGCCGCCGAGCCCCGCTGCTCCTTGGCTTCGAACTCCTTAGGGAAGGGGAAATGGAGGCAGGAAGGAGGGGCAGATCCATGAGAAGTCTTGTCACGAGTGGACAGGGCCATAGGATCCCACTCAGCACCGCGCCGTGGTGCTGCGGGTCCCGCCCTCGGGGCAGCACCCACCCGCGGCGCTGTCCACGGACACGAAAACCGCTTCGCTCAGCGGGAATGGGTTGAAGGGCTGCCCGGCCCCCCCGGGCCCTCCCCTCGAACGGCGCGGGGGGCGGATTTTGACCCTTCCCGCTTGCGGGCGAAAACTGGCCCCGTGAGACCGTCGGTCCCCCAGAGGCTGCACCCATTTCCCGCCACTCGTCGTCCTGACACGCGTGTCTCGTTCTCCCGTGGCCGCCTCGGGGAGAAGGCGGTGGGTCTCGGGCGGGATGCAGTGCGGCGGCACGAGAGGCAGAGCCGCTGAGGGGGACCCACGGGGGCCCGGTATTGCCGGAGCGCCCCCCGCCCCGTTTGTCTGACCACCGGCCGCCGCGCCGGGCCGCGGAACCCCCCAGTCCGCCCCGTCCGGGTGCCGCGGAAGCCCCCGGCCCGTCCCCGGGGCTGCGGGGCCCACATTCCGCCCCGTCCCCGGGGCTGCGAGAATCCCCCCCCCCCCCCCCCCCCCCCCCCCGCCCCCGCGGCCCCTTTTTGTGCTCCGCGTCCCTTCCCGCCCCCCCGGGGCCGCCCCCCCGAGCGGGGCGTGTCCCGGGGGCGTGTCCCGGGGGCGTGTCCCGGGGGCGTGTCCCCCTCGGCGGCCCCTCCCCGCGGCCATCGGGACGCGCCGCACGTCGGCGGGCGGGGCGCGGCGGGGCCAATGCGGCGCGGGCGGAATATTCCACCCGGCTCCGGCGGCGGCGGGCGCGGGGGGGG